GCTTTGTTCACATTTTCTCACTCTTTTTTGAAAACACTTGTAGATTAAACCCCTCATAAGTTTCACAAATAAAGACAAACACCAACTTGTCTGTCTTGAAAGAAAACCCACATTCATTTAGTCACAAATGGATTTACATGAACGTTTTGATGCATAGATGTGAAGAAACTAGTGTTATTTGTGGGTGTGCTGATGTTCAGGCAGCTGTAAGGGGACAGCGTTAAGGCAGAGATGGAGTGTTCCCTGTTGTGTTGCTTTTTCTTTGGAGCTGTCCTCCACAGAATAAACATCTGTGTGAGATTAGTCTCTTATTCAACAATAGATGTACCATTACACACACCAACAAGGACATACTGTAAGCTCTTTATCAATGCTCTGCACCAAAACAGCTCTCAGATAAGGATTAACCTGCCCTTGTTGCTGCTCAAAAAATATTTCCTCCTGTCCTGTTTGCCTGTAAATCTGGCTCGAATTTCTGTTGCTGATCTCTACTGCATCACTGATTATATTTAGTCAAACAGGTTCAAATAGTTGCATTATTTAAAATTATCCCAAGACACAAATTCCGGCCTAAGGAAACTCTTGTCACTCACAGAAAAGAGAAAGAAACACACTCGCTCCATTCGTCTCTCCACAGCTGGCCATGCTGCCTTCTGGAGGGTATACCCCAAGCTGCCTCCAGCAGCCTGCTGTGATTAGCCAATAAATAAGTAATCTTATGTCATAAATCAACAGGGGCAGCTCTGTCAAGGAGATTTCTGCTGCAGTGCTCTCTGGAAATCGCTCTACTGCTTGAAGAGAAGAAAGAGAGAGATTAATGATAGTTAAAATGGCAATGAACAAGTTGCACTGTACAACTTAAAAAATGTTTTACCTTGAAGGATATCCTCCTTTAGACACACAAACTGTTCCTGTATGCTGTTTAGGAATGGCCAATACATGAAATACCTTTTTTTTCCCCGTTTGTGTTTATTTTTCTGTAATTTTAGGCAAATAGCTCCTAAATCACTGGATGAAATTTGAATAAAAATCTCAAAAAAGAACTGTTAGATGTTCTTCAAATGCTGATTCATTTTCAGAGACAGCACCTTTAAAGATAGCTGCCACAGCTGCAACACAACAATGGCTGTAACTCAACTAATTTACAGACATTTAGCTAAAATTGTGTGTGGTAGTAGCTGAGAGTAGTTCCTAACAGATACTCTGAGCACTAACAGATTGCATGGAATCTGTTTTTACACTGCAAAAATTAGCCATCAAAAAAAAAATAAGCGATTGCACAATTTCACTTGATAAGACTTCTTGAACGTAAAATATTCAGTCTAAGATTAATCTAACACATTCTGATCTTGCTCAGGATTTCAGTCTCAAAACAAGATCCAAAATGTTTTTTTTGGCTGGATATAAGAGTGTGAGATTTGCTTAGATGGACAATTTTTGCAGTGTAAACCGCCACTATTAAGCATTAAAGTCAGCTGTTTGTCTTTTAGCAAAATATTTCATGAGGCACTGGGCACGTTTTATTGAAAATCTTGGAAAATAATCATTTGTTACAACTGATCAACTTTTGACGTCACTCTAATTCAGTACGGTCACCACAGCTAATCAACAATGACCAACATGATTAGTGATTCTGGTGATTTTATATTTCCTGCACTCTTTCTTTGTTCACCTACAAACCTCAAAACAGTCCCATCTCTGATTCTTTCTGCATTACTGTGTAATTGTGCTCCCTCCTGTAGAGAGGACAGGAAAGGATTGAGAAACTCATTTTGACAAGTAGCTGTGCATGTAATGCCTCTTGGAAAACACTCACCTGTTGTATCTTAGCCCTGTTTRTGATCTCCCTTGGATCTGTGTGTCATTAGAGATAACTGCAACGATTGGCTCTTTATGTCACCACTTTAAATGCATTTATAAGTGGGGCAAACTGGCTACATCGCCAAGGCAGAAAAATAAAAGCTGCCTCAACGACAGATAATAGTCAGAAGGGATATGTGGGAGAAATGCTGTAAAAACAAAATGAGTTTCAATTGAGAGAGGGCATGAAGGAGGAATATCTGTTTGACTCTCCATTATCTGAGGTCTGTTTCACATCCTGCAGATCTTGAGGTCCATCATAACAAACTCCACCCTGCAACATCCATCGCTTCAGTTTCCAACAACCAGCCTTTTTAATCTCCATGCTCATCGTGGTTTCTGGCAGTCTGTTTCATCTGCAGCCCTGTCAGCCGTTATCTCCGAATGGAGAGGCTGTCAAACTGTTTATCGTTACCACATTTTCCGTGATGGTGGAAGGACATGACTGCGAGGAGTCAGAATAGAACCTGGGGGCCGCTGATAGGCCGACAGAGTTAGACAGCAGATAATAGATGTTTCTTAGCAGGTCTTATCAAAGCCTCCAAACGTAAGCTTCAGGGATCCAAGTTTACCACTCTGCTAAAGTTTAAGCTCCAGAGCAGAAGAGGAGCTTCTGATTTTTGTCTGTTCAGCAATCTGTTGGTCGTGCCTTGAGTGACTGATAATGGAAAAACCAAGGTGCAAATAATGAAATTGATCGTGAAGACTGGAGCATTTCATTAAAGTTTAGCCTAAAAGTTTTTAAAACCAATACAGATCCACTCAGTTTTTCAGACTTGTTTCGATCATAACTGATAATAGAAACTACAGGCCAATAGGACTTCRGTGTCCAGCCTGCTATGTTGGAAATCATCAGCAGTTAGAAAGAAGTCCAAAGTCTACAGCAAATTATTGAAAATAATCCAAGAAAGCAAGAGAAATTTATACTCTGCTCACAATGGAGTCACAAACAATGCAAAAGTATCTATTTCTATTAAAGAAACAAGAAACCTGCAGTGTAGGAAATTAAAAATTCTGATCATAAATGAGACTAAAATAAATTTTCAGTAATAGACAAACATCCAGGAAGCTGAAGGACCAGGATCTAAGAAACCAAGAGAATCAAAAACAAAACAATGACAGATAATAATCAAGAAGAAAAAAGCATTTGAAATAAAATGTCACAAAGTCAGAATGTTTCAAAATGTTACAGTTTTTATTTGATTCCAGTGAATATTAAAGTTTAAAATAAGTTGAAATAGTTTCACAATGTATTTTTTACCACATAGCTGTTTATGTTCCAAGTGACATTTCAATTTGCGAAAAGTTGTTCCAGTTTATTAAATTATCCACTGTGATAATAATGAGCAACACAGTTTAAAAATGTGAGACGAAATGAAGCAGATTGTTGGAAGCTGAAAAAAAACCCAATAAGTTTCAAATATGCTTTATTTCTCTTGTAAAGAAGAAAAAAATTAAAAATTGCATTTTTTTTGTTTCTCAGACTCTTTTATAAGGAGGATCAAATCTGACATAATTAGAAATAAAAGCAGAAATATATAAACGGCCCAAAATTTAATGAATACACTTATACTGCACCAATTAAAATAAAAAAGGAGAAGTTTACATCATGTTTTGTAATTTAATTGACCTTCATATTTATTTGTCTAGCTTAGTTCCAATAAATTATATATTTTATCACATAATTGAAAGTTGACTGTTTTTAAAATAAAATAATAAACCTGAAAGACCTGCCTCGTATTCTACTTTTAGAAACTCTAGAAACCACAGGTAAACCTGTAGTCTGAGTGCAAAGTGCTCTGTTAGGAAAATACTACTGCACTGCAAAATTCTGCACTCCTAGAGACTCCAAGTGCACAACCAAATGTATTAAAYGGCTAAAAAAGTGGATTTTGCATGATATGTCCCCTTCAATAGAAGATGGAACTTGGTTGTTGAGAACTTTGCTTGTTGGACAGTCAGCAAGCATGCAATAAGCCAAATTACATTTTTTTAAGTATTATTATCAAGTTTACAAAACAAAGCATTTTTGTCTGTAATAATTTTTTATTGTTATTGGCAGGAAAAAAGTAATGCAACTAGAAACCGCAACATGTTAACATTCTGGTACTTCCTGGCAGGAGAAAGTTACAATGAACAGTGAATCCAACAATTATTACATTACTGTTTGTTGTGTGGAGAACAAAGAGTGACAGATCTAGGATTTTTCWGCRTATGGGGCCACCAAGGAGCCACAGTATCCATAGAGGGGCCAAATATTTGTTCAACATGCTTACACACAAATCCCCAGTTTTTGTAAGGTGTAGAAATGTAATCAGTCACACGTATTCAGACACTTGTAAAAGCTCGAACTGAAAATACTCTATSAGTTTTATGTGCATTTTTTCTGTACATAAATAAAACACTCTCAAACACAAAACATGTGAGAAAATCCAGCCATCGTTGTCAGTTAAAATACTTTTTCTGCTGGATTATTCAAACTGAAATAGACTGGCGTAAGCTTGCTTCATGCTGGACCTTCCTATTTGACTCATTAGCGCCACTACTGTTTGGAAGTGGAACTGCAGCCACTCAAAGGACAGTTGAGAGACAGGACAGGGGCACTTCAGGGGACCAATCAGATTTCAGCCCGCCCCT